AGGCTCAGCCTCATCAGGGGTTTGATTCAGCTTCACTGCTGCCTCTGGCTAAGGGGCTGGACTCACCTCACCCTCCACTCTTTCCACCATAACCCTGTGCAGATCCTAAATCTGTGACTGAGCAGATTAAGAAACTAAAAACTCACAGATTAATCATAATGAAGTGATTAATTTTTGCAAGACTGTCACACTCCCAGTCCAGAACTCTTCTCATCAGGTTGATTCCCAGAAACAGAGAAGGCCTGGAAGCAGTGTGATTTCTAACATTCCTTGAAATTTTCTGTGGGAAGCCAGGAGTGCCTAGTATCTTGAGAAGAGTATCAACTTCTCAAGAAGGCTTATAGACAGGAAATAAAGTGTCAATGTGTAGAGACCAATAGGAGGGTAGTGCTGTGCCAGGAACTGAGGACAAGCAGAGATGTTTCTCAGAAGGCACCACCACACGGGAGCAGCGTCCCAGCAGGAAGGGAGCATGGTGTGGTCACAGTCTCCAGGAGAGGTCTTTGCAGTGCAGCTGCGGAGAGGGTAAAAGCAAGGGCAGAAGCCTCTCCTCAAGGAGGGCTGCTCCAAAGGTGGACCTCACAAGTTACTGGAAGATTTTAATGGAAAATAGTGGCAAATGGAATAAGAAGGAAGCAAATATCCAACAGAAGCCATCTCCTGTAATAATGATTAAAAGGGATGAATAAGAAATGCTGGGGGGGGGGGAGGGTTAAACACATTTTCTTCAAATTTGTCCTTAAGATTTTGTCCCAAATTAGGATTTAAGTATTTTCAATTTTTTTTTTAACAGAAAACAAAAACCTCTCTCAACACATGGAGTCATTGCAAAGCAGTATAGTAACAATAATGGGAAGCTTTGCAGAAGGAGCCTTTCAGGGGGTGGATGTTGTGCATGTGTGAAGTGTGACTTCAGAGAGAAGCAGGAAAACAGTCTGACAAAGTAGGTGGAGGAAGAGATGGAGAAGAGTTTGCAGAAGTAGATGAGTTAACTTGTTCCTTTGGCAGAATAAAGTTTTAAGTTGCTAATGGCTGAAATTGAACTTAATTAGCATGCACCAAAGAAATGATATAGGGACAAGCTGGATATATAAATCAAGAAACAAAGCTTTAAAATGGTTTTCAAACTTTAATAATTAATTTTTCTTTGCTCCTTTATTATCTCTTTCAGATGAAAGAGATAATAAAGACAGATGAACCTGTCTGTGTCATCTTTGTGAGTGTATTTAGTTTTCTAAATCATTTATCCTGGATCACCAAGTCCTTAATAATCAGTTAGGTGATGTAACTAATATAAATTTATTTTGAAGATTTATTCCAAGTTTTCAGTTATCAGTGAATTGGAAGTCCATTGTCAGTTAGTATCTCTGTATTTTCCATGAAAAGATTATTTAGTCCTGCTGGCTATATACAATTCATTTAATACCTGAAATTTTAATTCTGTTGGCCCTAAAACCACTACAGCCAATATTTACAAGGTATATAAATGGATGATAATAACCAGTATTTCGGGTGGCACCTAAAAGATATAATAAAGGAGCAAAGAAAAATTCATTAAAGTTTGAAAACCATTTTAAAGCTTTGTTTGTTTCTTGGTTTATATATTTGGCTTGTCCCTACATCATTTCTTTGGTGCATGCTAATTAAGTGTGCAAACTGGCCTTCAATTAGTATAGTAGCCTACTAGTCAGCAAGATAGGAGAGCACAGAAATTTTCGAAAGAGAAGCAGTGAAGTGTAAACTAGTACCCAGAACTACAAAGCGATGCTGAGAAATACCTCTCTGAAATTATACACGAGTATTTTTTTTACATTACCATCACAGTTCTATAATTACAAAATGAATGTTTCTTTTCTCTCTAAACAAATGTGTTTCTGATAGTTAAATGTGGATGATTGGCTAAATTTCTTATAACAGTTCTAAAGTTAGGTTATATGAAATTGAGAGGGAGAAACTAAATTCTGTATGAGGCCTTGAGTGTAGGATTTTTTTTTCCTTCCCCGTTAGCTCTATTGCATATATGGACATTCTTATAGCACAAATGGGAGCTCTGGTGGCGTAGTATTTAAGGCATTTGACTGCCAACCAGAAGGCTAGCAGTTCAAACCCACCAGCCACTCCTCAGAAGGAAGGTTGGGCAATCTACTTCCGTGGTGATACTGCCTGGGAAATCCAAGGAAGGGTCATTATGAGTTGGATTGAACTCAACAGCAGTGCTTTTATAGCTCAAATTGTTGTTGTTGTTGTTGTTATGTGCCGTCGAGTCGGCCCCGACTCATAGCTCAAATACATATGTAGAAATATCATTGCCAAATTTATACATGGTCATGGGTATATTCCCTTTTGCCTAGACATACCTGATCATTTAGCCTATCTATATATCCACCCACAGATTGTAGGATTATTTTAAATGGCTTTTAAGTGTCCCAAAGAGTGACTGTTCACTAAGCATTTCTGTTTATTTGCTAGGAGTAAATAACGATTTTTAAAAAGCATGCCCATTGCATCTTACTCTCGTGGACTTGGGTTCTGAGGGTCTGGCAGTGCTTGCTGCCCTGTAAGTAACTGCCTTGGATGTGTGTGTGTGTGTGTGTGTGTGTATAAGCACCTGGTGTTGGACCACATCAGCAGCTGATGAAGCCACTGCTTTGTGCTTTGAATTTTTTTGGTGAAGATCTAAAGGAGGGGGAGGAGGAAGTTGTATATAACCTGTGCATTGATAAGATGTTACAACCTTCAAAACTGTAGAAAGGTGATCCGTTTCAACACAAACTCAGGCTACCTTCCTAAGAATGCAAATCTTTACTAAGTAAACACACACAGAATATAAACTTTAGCAGAAACATGTGTCCACTCTGGAAACACAAAAATTGTCACTTTGGTTTTTTGTTTGTTTTACAGTAACATTACATTTAGTGATCCATTTGCTTCAAAATATCTAAATGCCACAAAATTCCACAAATCTTAACTTTCCATTAAATTCAATGCATGAATAACGTTAAAATTCATTTTAAAATTCAACAGAGCTAATGTCTCTGGCCTTCCCTACTACAGCTTCTATTTCAATGACTTTTCCTTAAAGTGAGTACTGAAAGTATAAGTGAGTGGGTGGTTAGGAAACTGTTAGTAGTTATTGTCATCTCTAAAATGCAGAACTCTGAAAATGAAAAAAATATCTTAGCTTCACAGAAAAATGTTTCAATGTTATGCCAGCCAGTCACAAATTGAGAAAAGACTGCAGAGGACTGTGAACACTACTTCGATGATACATAATCTTTTAAACAGCATTATAATGAAACTTTTAAAAAGATAACTTTTCAAAAATCCACAAATTGCATTTGTCATTGGCTATAATTAAAGAAAAATCTGTGTAAGATTTTAACTAAACTGAAGTTCCAGTAAAAACCTTTTCCATGCCTCTTAAAGATAAAACAAGAAACACCGCCCAAGTTTTATTTCGATAAGATCATCAATTTGATTGATGTCCAATCAATACAGAACACTTTTAATAGGTCTAAACTTCTCTTGATGTTAACGACTTATAATCACCTTTATGTTAGGTCTTAAAGCTTTATTATCCTTAAATACAACTAGCATAGTGGACCATTAAATACCAAAGTGATCTGAGATTATATTGATTGGGGTGATAGCCACAATTTTAAGGTGCCCAAATTACTTTTTATAATACCCTTACACTAAATAAGCGTGTAATTTAAAAAATAATCATTAATATTCCAGTTGAGCTGACTCTGGCCTCTTTTTTTGTTGATGCTTTTAAATTCACGCCATTTAGACACACACATACCCCTTTCTCAACTAGTACAAAATTTCCTGCTAAATATGAATGCTAGTTAAGCCTTGAGAAGGAAAAGGCTATCAACGTGAAACTTCAGGGCAAAGGACGGCGGCTCGGGCACCCCAGCGTCGCCAAGCCTGAGTTTCCCACCTGCGTGGGCCCTGCCGGGGCGCGCGGACGCCTGGTCTGCACCAAGGCGCAGTCGGCCACGAAGGATGCAGCTCAGGTCTCTCCTGCTCCAAGAGTACTGTTAACTTGGTGACCTGTTTTGACTCATGAGCTGTAGCCACCGCACGCAGGGCGCTTGCCATTGGAACATATCAGTGGGCCCCTGGTGCGTCCCCAGACCGAGGTGCGGGGGGAATGCCCTTGGTGCGGACGCTGCCGCCCCCGCCCTCCCAGGGCTCCTGTCTCGCGACCCCCGCGGGCAGCGTGGACGCTGCGCCTCAGGACCAGGTTTTTGCTTCCCCCCCCACACACACACACACACACCGCTGACCGGCCCCAAGTTGTCGAATAGCTCAGATGTTTGTCATATTTGTGGTCGCGCGACTCAGCGGGCTGTGAGCGCGCTGCCCTCGCCGCCGCCTTTGCCTTTGTCACCAGCGGCTTCGTCATTTGCATGAGTATTTTCTGGAGTGTGAGGGGATTACTATTGGTAGTTCTAGTCCTCTGGCCCAAGTGTCCTTTTCTCTCCTCCCCTCTTTTAAGCCTTAAGAGAAAATAAAGGGCGCGCCGGCCGGACCGGGTGCCCTGGATCGGCGCTAACACCCCGCGCCTCGCATGCCCCTTCTGTTCTTTCCTGTTCCTACGGCCGCCGCGGCCCGGTCGGCATTGATCGCGCCTCCCGGGACCGCTGAGAGAGGGGGCGGGGCGGGGCGGGGCCGGGG